ATGCCGAGCCCCCGAGCCCTCGCACGTAGCAGGGGTCCAACCGGGGGGGGGGTCGGTTCGTCCTGCGATCGTCATCCCTCATGCGTCCATTCGCTAGAATGAAGGGGCTGAGCCATGCCATGCTTTCCTCGCTGGACGGAGCACGGTGCTTGATGAGGACATCGCCAAGATGGAGTCGAGGACGACTCCAATTCGAGAAGGGGAGGATGATGAGGACATCGCCACGCTGGACACACCGACGCCATGGTCTTCCCCAAGTTGCAATTCGTTCCCAACTCAGCTGCCACGTCACCCTCGGATTCAGCAGACACGTCGTCACTGTTTCAGTCATAACTTCCTCATACGACGTCAAAACGGGCCGTTCTTGGATGCGTTGGAAAGGGGACGACGACGCCGTCGTTTTGGATCTGGTCCCAGCTCCAGAAGATCCGTGGATCATTCTGTGTTACCACGACAAGGTGCCGCATCACCTATTTGGGCCAACTTGGCCATGTATCGTGTCGGGCCTTAAGCCCAAGTTGTGGCCGCCCAACCCCTGGCCGTCCCCAACCCTAGGTCGAGTCTTAGACTATAAACACAGCCGCCACCGCTGCTACACAATTGGGTTTTGTTTAGAGTTTAGTTTTCCATCGAGAAACTGAATCGTTCATTGTAACTGTGGTGACAAATCCTTTTACAGTGATCCAGAGCCCCCGTTCTTGATCTCCTCCACTGTGTCGATTAGTCCTTTGGAACCGAGTTCTTGAACCCTCTATTGATATTCGCGTCATTCATATTTGCAATTTCAGATTGCGTGTTTTACCTTCTTGCTTGTGCTCTTCGATTCACTTGCAGGAAAAGCCTTCTTGGCGAGGTCAATCAAGTTGTGCTTGGTTGATAACCAACGGAGCGGTGGTGTAACGGTTGCAGGGTTCGAATCGTGTCTGATTTGAAGCCGGATCGCCAACGTCGAGATCTCCACAAATCGAACTTACCGGCTACCTCTCGGAAGATCGGGCCTGTACTCATCAGTGCTCGGTGAGTTGTTAACGGGCTTGTTCAAGTGGAGCCCCGACATCCCCATCGTGGGGGCCTAGTTCGAGGTTAGCTGGTGACTGACTCTAGATTCTTGGTGGCCGGTCCATATAGTTCCTGGATCCGTTCGACTGGTCCGAGGGCTCGATGCCTTTCTTCGGGGAAAAACCATGGACCTTGCATCATCCAAGACTCAAAACGAGGGTCGGGACGCCCAAGGCGCTCCACGCGCTTTGGGTATTGGCCGCTAACGGGCCCGTCCTTAACCTCTCCTCACTCTAGGGTGCCCTAGAGCGGCCGTGAACCCACTGGTGGGCCAGCCTTCGAACTCCTAGGCATTAATGGGTCGTAGGAGCATTTTTAGCTCTGTATCCCACTTACTTGCGGCGGCCCGTAGTCTTTGAAGGCGAACCATCGCTCAACGGATCCTTCGCGGGGAAGATTTGGATAGGTATGCGCTCGTCTTCTGGCAGCTTCCTGGAGCCATTCGATCGACCTGGACACATGTTTTACCTTGATGATAAGAGTGATGGGTTTGGGAAGCTCTTACCAGATATGATTGAGCGGGATCTGGGTCCGTTATTCATGATGAGGTCGGCACGACCCGCATGGGGCATCCTGCTGCTCCCTACCCGTTTTCACGGCATTGGTCAAGCCGTCCAATTGACTTACGTGACCTGCTGGAACAAGGTTTTCCTGCGGAGACAGAGGATGAGAACATCTCGCGTGAGAATTTAGTTTAGGCAGATAAACCGGGCGGGGAACTCGTGATAAATGGACGAGCTCTTAAATTTTGTTATAGCAAACAACTTTTTAGTTCTTCCCCTCTTTTTGTATAAAAAGGTTAGTGCATTTCGACCCTTTTTGTCGTTAAGGCCACAAAAGCTCGGGATACGGGAGAGCCAGTTCTGATCACGCTGGTGAGCAGAGGCGCCATAGCTGCTGGGGCGTAGGTTTCCCAAAGCTTGACCAGTTATACTTAGAGCCTGTTCCCGTAAACCTAGCTCCTCGGTTTTAACGTGAAAGGGGGTCGGGCACTGAGAATGTTTGCTAGGCGGATAGATTTTGAAAGTGTATCGGCCCTTTCCATGCTTAAGGCCCAAAAAAGCCTGGGGTGCGAAAAAGAAACTCTGATTACGCTGGTGAGCCAAGGCGCCGTAGCCGCTGGGGCGTAGGTTTCTCGTGGTCCGACCAGTTTTACTCAGGGTCTATTTTCGCAAACTCTGCTTTTTGGGTCTTAATCGTGAGAAAGGGTCGGTCGTAGACATTATTTGCCAGATAGATATGTCCTTATTAGTCCCCGAGTGAGGCCCGTCCCCCGCCATTTGCTGGGGTCGGCTTTCACAAAAGATCGGGGAGTTCGACAGCGAAACTAATAATAAGAGAAAATATGTGTTCATTAAGGGTAAAAGTGACATAGCTGCTCAATGTTCCCGGTGTTTGATGAAGACCTCGTCGTTGATAGTTTTGAGCTTGTAGGTGCCTGGCCGGAGCATCTCCGCAACGACGCGCAGTCCTTCCTACGGCAGGGAGAGCTTGTGGCGGTCCTTGTGTACTTGGCTGAGCAAAGGAGGGCGATGTCGCGCGCTTCATCTAGCTAGGCTCCATCCTATGCTTCCCCTTGTTAGAGCTTCCGGACAAGAACCGCTTCAAGAGAACGCAGTCCTTGTATAGGTGCTTGACGGGAAAAGCATGGTTTGGGCATGGCCCTTCAAGCAACTTCTCAAAGTAGCTCGGGGTGCCCTCCGTAGGCTTCCAGCCCCCCCCCCCCCGTGCGGTCGGTGTTGGCCGCTAGCGAGCTCCCGCGCCGCCGCTTGTTCTTCCTTTTGTTGGGAGGCTTGGAGGCGCCTTCGTCGGCGTCCTCGTCCCACTTTGCTTTGCCCTTGAGGGCGTGTTGGTTAAAGCCCTGAGGTCCCATCAAGTTGGGGCTCGGACTTCGGTCCTCACCGCTATCATAGCGTCCGCCACGACGTGAATGGTAGCCGCGGCTAGCCCCTTCATTTGCATCGCCGTAGGCATGCCTACGGGCGTCGAGGGCATCGCGGGCATCACGATGGAGGCCGAGACGCTCATGCACTAGGACCGTGGTGCGTGGCTCACCACCCTATTGGGCCTGATGGACCGGTATGTCCTCGTCGGGTTGTTCTGAGGGCGCTTCGCGTCTGTGAGTGTCAGGGGTGTCACGTGCGTCGCGGTGGAGCTCGAGATGCTCGTGCACCGAACCCGCGGTGCGTGGCCTTCCGTAGTTGAGGCTGAGGGGCTGGTTGCTTCCGGGGGCGCGGACCCCCGTTGTAGGTAGCTACAGCTCCTCGGGTGCCTCGGTGATTGCATCAAGGCCGATGAAGAGGAGGGGTTGTGTGGCAGCGGAAGACCGCACCAACTCTTCGTCCGTCGTAATGACGAAGTCCAGGTTCCCGAAACGCACGCGCGCGCCCAGGACCCAGCTGACGTTGCGATTAGCTATCCAAGGCCTGGTGTTGATGTCGAGACGCGCAAAAATGCCCCTGCCTGGCGCGCCAATTGTTGGTGTTTCGAGTAAGCACCAGCTAGTAAATTTATATATTGCGTGTCTAACCCGGATGGTGTGCTAAGAGGACACAAGGATTATACTAGTTCGGGCCGAATGTCCCTACGTCTAGTTTCGGACTGCTCGTGTAACCAGCACTGAGTTTGTAGTAGGGGTTATAAATAGGCAAGAGAGAAAGGTAGCTCCCAAGTCTCTGGTGTGATGCGGTGTGTTTGTTCGATGAATCGATTCGTGATGAGTCGATGTCCCTAGTGGGACGCCCTGCTTTCCCTTTTATAGGTCAAGGGAAAGCAGGGGTTACAACCGAAAGGAAGAGGAGAGAAAGAAAGAGAAATAAGGCCCCTGGAGGTGCACCGCCTCCTCTTCGTGTGGGTCCCGTTGACCCTATAGATCATCGCGGCAGTGGCGGCGTACCGGGGTCCTGTTGGTCGATGCAGCTTACGTGTGGGCGTCGCGCGCCTTTCTTGTCTTCCATTCCATCCGAGCGGACGGAATGGTCAAAGGGTCCCCTGACAGATAGCCATGCGGGGGGGCAGCGGTACTGTGCCGGTCAACTGACATCGATTTGACTGACGTTGGACGGTGGTCGGGCAGGGAGTTGGCAGCACAATGACCACGCGTCCGTCACTGTGGGCGATGTGAGTTTCCCGGAATGACATGTCGTGGGGACGGGTCGTGCTGAGATGTGACCGCTCCCTGCACGATGCCAGAAGTTTGACCTTGAGTGGTACTTTCTGGCTCGCAGTGGTTGGCGGCGACGTGAGCTTCTGTTAAGAACCATGTTCAAGATATCGGGCGAGGTGGAGCCGGCCCTCAGACGTCGGCCGAGGCGGAGCTGACCCTCAGGGGTCGGCCGAGGCGGAGCCTACCCCCGGGAGTTTATCCGAAGTGGAGCCAGCCCTCGGACATCGGACGAGGCGAAGCTGGCCCTCAGGGGTTGGCCGAGGAGGAGCCTACCCCCGGGAGCCCTCGGACGTCGAGCAAGGCGGAGCTGGCCCTCAGACGTCGGGCGAGGCGGAGCGAACCTTCGGGGTTGGACGAGACGGAGTCAGCCCTTGGGAGTCAACTGAGGTGGAGCCGACCTTAGGGGGTCGGACGAGGTGGAGCCCACGGCCTTAGTGTCCACTGAGGCGGAGCCAACCCTCGGGGGTCGGACGAGGCGGAGCCCCTGCCCTCGGTGGTCAGACGAGGCGGAATCTAGCAAGAGGTGTAGTCGCGTCCTTAACTGCTCGGAAGAATCAATCATTGATGGTTATTAGCTCTTCCTCTTCGGGTACGCTAGTATTTGTCCCCGATAAAATCCATCAGCTTACCACCAATACTTCATCAACCCATCAGCAAGCTAAGCACCACACACACCTGTTAGCTGAACAACCAGCTTGTACAAACTGATTTCTCTGAATATTCAGCCAAAAAAGCCGGGGAAGCAACCATGATCAGTGCCAAGAGACTTGTTCAGATGGCAAAGAAGTGGCAGAGAATGGCTGCCCTGGCGAGGAAGCGGCTCACGACGACACCGGGGAAAGAAGCTGATGGTTCGTGCGGCGCATCGACGTCGGTAGCCGTCAAGGGCCACTGCGTCGTGTATTCCTCCGACGGGAGGCGGTTCGAGGTCCCGCTGGCGTACCTTGGCACAGCGGTGTTCAGCGAGCTCCTGAGCATGTCGCAGGAGGAGTTTGGGCTTGCCGGCGACGATGGCAGGATCACGTTGCCCTGTGACGCTGCGGTGATGGAGTACGTGATGTGTTTGCTTAGGCGAGATGCCTCTGAAGAGGTTGTGAGGGCGTTCTTGAGCTCCATTGTCAGACCTTGCCACCACAGCGTCAGTGGTATGGTGCCATCGATGTGCCAATCAGCTATCTGTGTATAGCTATGATTAGCTCATGATGTATATAATATTAGATTCATTTAACCGGATGTAATATTCTGGAATCACATGAAATCGTACAAAAGGTTCTTCGTTTTCTATCCTTTCGTGTGAACGTCTCGTGGCATGAATTTGGAAACGTTTCTCGTTGCATGAATGACATGGTAGAAAGTAGTAAGAAGATCCTGAAAGTTCGCCGACGCGCGAGATGCGATTGAAGGACGCAACGTCGGCGGCGGAACTCAGCAAATTCACCGGCGGCGACTATCTCTGTATTGCCGAAAATGACCTTTGGCACCTCAAAAATTTGGATCGCCCCACCGTCCAATCTGAGCGCGCGATTGGATTCTTATGGTTGCGGCCCAGATCGAGAAAGACACAGCAGTTTTGGGCTTTTGGTCTTGGTCTTTCCATGTGGGCCCACGTACTATCCTATATCACCGTTTGGGCCCGTCTGTGGGTCATCCTTCACTGCCGGCGGCGGCGCCACGGAAGCCTGGCGAGCGCCGTTGAGTCGGCCGTGCCCCCCTCCGAGCTTCTGGTGGCAGCGGCTCGGCGCTCCGGTGAGAACCCCAAACCGAATAGGTGCCCCAATCGTACAGGAGGCAGAAAATGAGCCAAATATGCTCAGATTAGTTCGTATATGTGCACAAGTAGCAGAAGGCCATAGGATTGCCCGTGTACCTCAAGAGTAATGCACTAGTGCCTTGATTGGTTCGTAGCATCTAGCATCTGGCCGGACGGTGCCATATCTTATTTTTGATTCATGGTCTGCCTGTTTTCTGCATCACATCACATGTGATATTTCGTCCAGCTGTGTGCCATGGTTGTTTCATTGTTGTGGCTTTCAGGGTAGGGGCTGTACTTGACTGCCAGTTTGGAATTTCTACTAGTCCTGACATTTTGCTGCGTGGATATCATTTAAATGATTTAGCTGAGTTTCATTTTCATCATGTTTAATCCACGATAGTAACATACTTATAGCAGTACCAATTTGTGTTAAATAATAAAAAAACCACCCTGAATATATGCCACTGTTGAAGCATAAACTGTACACAATCTTTTCTCCTCAACTCATGTGCATGATAATTTGTGACTGTTCTCAGTTATAAATGTAGATCTATTTGCTATTCTTGCCTATATGTTTAATGTTATCCTCAAAGAAAGCAACAAAAATAATTGCAGCTTTTCCTGTAGTAGTTGGTTTTCCAGGTTCCTGCTAGATTTATTGCTGACTTGCAGGAGTGAAAATGCTTCACATCAATACTATTAAAGTGGCAGCAAGGAATAATACCAATAAATTCATCAAAATTGAGAGAATGTATGTACAACTCTTTCTTTTCTTCACATACAAACTGCAAAGTACTCCATATCTTCAGGAGCTACAAACTGCAAATTGCTGATGCAGTGCTGCATGTGGCATTGTATAGCTTGAATGTTGGCAAGGCATAGCTACAGAGCTCAGGAATGCCTTCTCCACTTCCTCTGATGCATTTCTTCTGAGCAAGCACATCACATACTTGACCACTGCCTCATCACAAGGCAGTGTTATCCTGCCATCATTTGTGGTCCCAAACTCCTCCTTGGACATTCGCAGCAGCTCAGTGAAGACCATTGTACCGAGGTACGCCAATGGAACCTTGAAACTCTTGCCATCTGCCATGTACATGGCACAGTGGCCTTTATCTGCAAATAGCGAAGTAGTGCAGCATGCGTCGTCGTCTCTGATGTCTGCCTTGATCCGTTGCCACTTCCTCACTAATTGGGCAAACCTCTTGTGATGGATCATGGTCGGTTCTTGGTTCTCAGAGGTATGGTGCTTCGAAATGCTTTGTGACTTGTGGCTGTTGGGATGACATCTTTACTTGCTAGCTTCTGAGTATATATATAGTTTCAAAAAAAAAAAACTTCTGAATATATAGGTGAAGAAATGGTCCTGGCCTTGGTGCAGCTTATATTCTGAGAACTAATTGGCAGGGGACAAGACCATGAGCATGATACATGATCAAGATTCAGATTTAATTTTTGTTAGACAATTGCTCGATGCACCGTCAACACTAGATAGTGGACCACCATTGGTTTGGCAATCAGATATGTACTACAGTATGGCTGCTGAATTGGTCAGAAACATAGCGCAAGCATACTGGGTCCGCATTGTATTGAGTGAGGTCTTCCATGTGTTCCCAGTGCCCTGTATCAAGTGATTTGGAGATAAACTGGTTGAGCTTGCTCAAAACAATCATTTCTGAAGAATGATTTGGGACCACACTATTTGTTCCCTTTTTGAGAGAATGGAACACTGACGTGATGGTGATTAGCTGAAAGCCAGCATCAATGTCTCACTGGGGACATGGCAGGATGGTCCAAGAGCCATGAGCTGAGCAGATGCGTGGTTCGCTTCACTGCTATTGGTTGTCTACTCTGTACTTACTGTTGCATTTGCATGGTATGTGTTGGTGAGCAGTGCTTTGATTGCTGCAAATCATGCAACTTAGTCCACTGTCCCAATGTCAATTGCCACCAATGCTCTGCATGATTTCTAGCATTGCATGTGACATCCAATTTTGTGGTATCTGTGTGCAGGCCCCACTCAGCCTACAAGCTTTTTTTTTTGCTTACATGCCATGGCCAGCGTTTGCTGGAAAGTTCAGATCCCGGTTATGCATCTGTGAAGACTGTTCGCCTCTCACCCTACTGCTACAGTATGTAAATTGCCATGCAAGCCTGCATTCTGTAATTCTGTTGCCAGGGTGTTCAGTGTTCACTTGGATTTAGAGGACAACTTGCTCAGCAAAATAAATCTGAAACCAGTAAGTCTTGGGCTTAGGCTCTCACTTTTGCAAGCCTGAATCCACAATTTCATGGTTCAAACTTTGAATAAACACCATGCACTGTTTTTTCTCCAGTGCTTAACTCCCTTGTCCGTTTATTATTTCACCTGGGCAATGCCATGATTTAGCTCGGGCAGAATGGAAGTGTGTGTCTGCTGTTGCTCTGTGCAATATGCCGTGAACTTTTGGAGCTCAAGTCATAAGATTTTGCAGAAGAAATTTACTGCCTAGTAATTGAAGTCCTAATATTTAATTAATCATTTATCACTACAGCAGAGTATATTTACAAAGAACAAGAATAATGGCTCTAACATGCTAATTTGCATCTTCCTTGATTGTTTGAAGGATCAAAATGCTCCATAGAGAAATTTGCTTTCCCTACAACCTATACTGAACCACTTTACATTCACTTAGGATCTGCAAACAACAACCTGATGGCTAACTCCAACAGATGGTGCAATACAGCTTGCATAGTGGCATGACACTGCCATGGTGCTCAGGAATGCCTTCTCTACCTCTGCTGAGGAGCCTCCCCTGAGGAGACACATGGCATACTCCATGACTGCGGCATCACAAGGAAGCGTGATCCGTTCATTGCCCATGAAGCCAAACTCCTCCTGGGACATCCGCAGGAGCTCTGAGAAGACCAATGTGCTAAGGTATGCCAGTGGAACCTCAAACCGCTTCCCATCTGAAGTGTACATCACGCAGTGCCCCTTGACTGCAACAGAGGCGCAGCACTCATCGGCTTCCTTTGCCACCCCCCAGGTGAGCCGCTTTCTCCCCAGCGCTGCCATCGTCTGGCACTTCTTCGCCAACTGAGCAGTCCTCTTGGCGCAGATCATGGTTACTTGAAGTAACTTACACTTCCTTTCTTCTGTCTCACTGGAAACTGGAGAGCTCTGGTTTGTGTTTGCAACACTTTGTTTGTGAAGCTGCAATTGATGGTGTTTGGAGGCTGCTTGACCGTGAATATATAGCTGAGCTGCTGAGGAAAAGAGCAAGTCATCCAGCCTAGTAGGATGTTTGGCAAGAGACAAGGACAAGGGGTGGTGCATTGCATATAATTGGGATCAGATTCTGATGGGACTAAGTGTTTGGTGGATGCCGGAACCAGTCGTAGTGCACTTTCGGTGCTTGGATTGGACACTACGCGTTGCAGCCATACTGAGCGGTTTGTAGCAGAGAAGAGGAACGAGGACCCCATGTTAATTGGGGCCAACGTGAAGTTTGAGGGGCCAGGTGGGTTCGGATAGCTGTAGTGCAATTCAGATATTGGCAGAGCAAATGCCTTTCAGGGAGGGATTCTTTTTGGTTCAGTGTCCATGACTGGAAACCTAAGGTTCATCAGGTAGCTATCATCTAAAGATGATTTGATTTAGAGGATCCTATTTTAGTAATATGCTATAGCACCTTACAGTGGAACTCCACTGGCCGAGATTGAAATCAGTTGGAGTATCACATGTTTAATGTTTTGGTAGTCTCTCCTATGCTTGTGTGCCCTGTGCTCTACTTCAACATGTGTCTCCTGTACTGAAGGGTGATATCCTCGCATAGGAAATTCGCATGTGTTTCAATATGAGTTCTCTTTCTTGAGCACTACCCATAATTTCAGAAGGTCTAGTCCATATCACTGAACTAAGTGCTCGTGGTATATTGCTAAACGTGGATGCAGTATTTGGCAAGTTTGGGATTTATTTCAGAGATGGATGATGAGGTGTCAGCTGTTCTCGCTCAGATTTAATACCAGGTAACCTACTACCATCACATCAAAAATGAGATCTTTAATGCGGTGCATGATCAAGATATTGTTGAATTAAACAATCGGTTTGCTGAAAGGTCTACCCGCTTATTGAGATGCATTGCCTGTCTAGATCCAAAGAATTCCTTTGGAAATTATGATCGTGAGAAACTAATTGAACTTGCTGAGATTTATGATGTTGATTTCTCCCAATATGATCGTGATCAGCTTCAAGGCCAACTTGATAATTTCATTATTGATGTGAGAGCTGATCCTTCATTCACATCTTGTGTTGACCTTGGTATTCTTGCTATAAAGATGGTTCAAACTGATAGGCACATAACCTTTGCATTGGTTTATCGCCTCAATTGTGTTGGCCTTGACTCTACCAGGAGGAAGGATTTTCTCAGCTATGAAGGTTGTCAAGACTGAGTCTCGGAATAAAATGGGGGATGACTGGTTGAATCATAGGATGATATGTTATGTTGAGCGAGAGGTATTTGCAACCATTAAAAATGATGACATCTTACATCATTTTCAAGAATTGAAGACCTGGAAGAAGAAGTTACCGTGACATCTTACATCATTTTCAAGAATTGAAGATCCGGAAGAAGTTACCTAATCTACCTAGTACTTCTGGGATGTTACATTCAGCCATTTAGGATACAAATGCATATTAATCAATGAGATTAATTTTTTGGCTATCCCTGTTCTTATTAACTCTTACATCTTGTCCAAACTAGGAGTTGTTATTGAGGACATGGAAGTGAAAGATGCGAATGCAACAAATCATCACTAGCACTAGGTATTTATTTTCTAATGTTCCATGTACTATATTGACTGTACCGTACTTCATTTGCAAACTTTCCATGAAAATTTCTATTTTTCTGTGTGGCACGCATATATGTATGTATTATGTACATTGTGTATATAGTCATACAGACTATGGTGTAGCTATGGCCAGTGAAATTTGGCCCTACTCTTAGCAAAATCCTGGTCCGCCACTGCCAGGCACTTGTCACAGCAAGACGCAGACAAGGAAACTTGGATTTGATGCTTTAATCAGATGACAAGCTGCAAGAGTTCAAAACTGAAATCGGTACCCTGGATGCCGAAACAAGTTGACTGAATTCGAAGCGAATGAGTTATGATCAGGCCTGCAAGGATATGAACGCACACAAACCGTGACTTTAATAGTTACATCTGTCAGCAGATGCCAAAAAGAAAAAGAATCAGAGTGCCCTCCTGTAATGCTGTACGGACGTTCAGTGCTAACCAAACAGAGTAGATTGGTAATGGAACTGGCGGCCTGTTCGCTCGTCTTATAAGTCGTACTTTTTCAGCTAATGAATAATATTTTTCTCTCACGATAAATCAGTCAATAGTACTTTCAGCCATGGTTTATCATGCCAAGCGAACATGGCATAGGGCATAGGATGATTGCTAACCAAGAAATAGAACATCAAATTCTCGGACTCTGGTTTAACCAACTGGGTTGTTCTACTCTGTTTTTACGTCTTAGATTTACCTAATTCTGGCATTGTTCGAACAAAATCATGACAAACTAGAGTTGTGTTGATCCGCACAAAATATGTAAAACTGACTGCCAAAGTTGCCACTGCAAATGGATAGAGTCTGTCTACCCAACAACCATGTGTTTTATGTAGTTTCAACACATAAATTTTTTTACACCAAAGAATTAAGATCCAATAGTCTCCATCCTCCTTCTACCTCCAGCTTTCTTCTACCTCCAGACAATCACAAATCATAAGATCACAGATTCACATTCACAGATCACAAGAAACAATTTTTTTCTATGGAAGGACAAATCGTAGAGCAAAGCCTGAAACCGGACACACGAGGCGTCAGCCGTCTCCACACACGAACAGCCGAGCGATCGATCCGAGCGAACAGCCTGGAGCCCACACACGAACACGTACATGTGTTTTGGATCCGCTGCTAACACACTCGTCCACACACGAACACGAACAGCCGAGCGATCGACATACGCGAGGTGAAAAAAGAGAGAGAAAAAATCCATGTGTTTTTTTCACCTAAAACACGTGTACGTTGTATAGCATTTGTGAATAGATATCATCAACTCATGCTCTGAGAACAACGAGAAACCAACCATTGGAGAGCCTTCCCCCCCACCCCCGGCCGACAGCGCCGCCCCCACGGCGACGCGGCCCAGATCCGCCGCCGCGGCTGCCTCCCAGCGCCCCACTGCCACCTCCGGAACCTCGTGCACCTCCACCGCCATGGCCAGTGCCCTTTTTCCGACCGAGGACCGTCGAATCGAGCCTGCCCCGCGTCCGCGCCTCTGGTCTGTTGTGGTTGGTTCCGCTCAAGGTCGAAGACGCGCTACCTGCAGTAATGGCTACGCACCTTCCCAAGCTGGCCTCGACAAGTTGGAACATGCCAGTGCCACGCCCGGCCATCACTCCTCGACGCGCTTGGTGACTGATGAGGATGGATGGTCAACTGTCGTTAGGAAGAGGACAGGGCGCTCCAGCGGCTCTGCTCAGGCGGATTCATGGCGTCCAGCTGCCCCCGCCTTCCTCGAATCCTTCAGAGGTAAATGCATTCGATGTCTTGCAGGGGGACACCGAGCGGCAGACTGCAGGGAGCCGGTCCGCTGCTTGCGCTGCAGGCGATTCGGGCATAAAGCAAGAGAGTGCAGGGGCGGAGCTCCACATCCTGCTCGCCAGGCCTCTGCAACCCAGAATCATCCGCCTGGGACCCGGCAGCCACTGCCTGACCCAGCATCCTTCCCTCCCCTCCCGTGCCGCGAGATGCCGGCGCTGGGAGACCCGTTGGCGCGCCCGACAGAGACCTCCGTTGTGGCGGCGGCAACGTCGGACATGGACGAGGAGCTGGAGCGCCTCTCCTCCTGCGCCGTGGTCTTGTGGCTCTGCAGCGACGCGGTTGATGTGGAGCCTGAGACGATCGGCAAGGCGCTCCGGGTCCGCTTGGGCGTCCGCTCAGGAGACGTCAAGGTCACGCGCCACCGTCCCGAAGACTTCCCCGCCATCTTCAAATACCCTCACCACCGGGACGCTGCTGTCGACCTTGAGCGACTTCCTCTGGGCAGCATCAACATCCGCATCCGGCCATGGCGAGTGCTCCCCTACAGCGACCACTGCGACATGCGCCACCACGTTCGACTCTGCCTGGAGGGGATTCCAGTACATGCCTGGAATGAGAGCATCGCCAAGCGGGTGGTGGCAAGAGCCTGCGACATCGACTATCTGGAGACGCAGTCCTTGCGCCGCGACGACACCACGGCCCCGTGCATGTGGGCGTGGACGAACAACCCCTCTGATATCCCCAAGGTAACCTGGTTAACCATTACAGGCAAGGCAGTGCAGGTTCATGACGACGTCGCTCCCCCTCGTGGCCGGCGCGGACAAACCTTCAGAGTCCTAGTTCATCTGGACATTCCGGAGCTGCCCCCGAACTCCCATGGGCGAACGGAGACAAGAGAATTCATCTGGCGCTATAGGGTGGTGGATGGTGTGCGCACCCCGCGTGACCGCCATGTCCCTCAACCCCCGGACTCCAAGCCATGGCGCCGCCGCGATGACGACAATGACGACGTTTGACGTGGACGCCGCGAAGGCTGCGGTGACAACTGGGCATCCAGGCTGTTCCAGAGTCTCCCTCGTGACCCGGGCCAGGCAAGGGAGAGGGAGCGCTCTGAATCGCGTCACAGACGGCAGGACAAGTCGTTGACACCCGACGGTCGACGCCGGAACATCCAATGTTCGTCATCGCCAGGACCTGATGGCATCGAGGGCCAAGGGCGCCTCAACTCACCCTCGCCATCATGACGTGCGCGCTCCAACTCGTGCATGGGGCGCACGCAGCCCACTCCGACAGACCCGGCTCATCCCCACCATCCAGCCAGCATGGACGCAGGGGGCCCCTATCCCTGGGGTCGGCGGGGAGGACAACGACGCCCCCCTGGTCCAGGAGCCTGCTTTCGAGAGCGAGCAGACAGGCCCGGCCAGAAGCGGCGACCCCTCTTGGGGCACCTCTGGATTCATCGAGCGGTCGTCGTGGGCGCACCCGGGAACATCAAAGCGGGCAACGCGGCAACGGAAGAGACAACGATAGCAGATCACCACCACCAGTTTCGTGCCTGGCTCCACTGTTCGACTCTGCATTTGCTTCCCCTGAGCCCCCATTGCTGCACAGACACAGGCTGGAAACACCCGCCGATGGCCAGGAACACGGTGAGCCGGTGCTACCTCTAGCCGCACCGCTTGCAACGCCAAGTCCCTCCCCCCACACCGGCCACAACCAGGGAGTGCCTAGGGTCTGCTCGGAGTGACACAGAAGATTTCGCCCAGGATGCGTCTACGCTAGACGCCATCCACACAGCAGAAGCGAGCCCGCAGAACGACTGGTCACGCCCCGGGCCAAGCAGCGAGCAGGAGCTACTGCGACCTTCATTGACCAGATCACGCAGCCGACGCCGGCATCGCTGCTCCAAGCCCCTCGGCATCGACCTAGGCCAGCACGGAAGGGGAAAAAGACCTCAGCACCGCGACACAAAAGCATCCGCATCGCGACTTCATCGTGGCCCCAAGGAGACGCACACGCAAAGGCTCGCCAAGTGCTCATGAAGAAGCTCGGCGTCATGGAGGAGGAAGAAGACTCGACGGATGACATGCTGCTTAACTACTTGGACTCTTCAGTGGGCCGCTCTCGAGAGCCGGTGATCAAGGCGATGATGGCCTTGTGTGGCCTTGACAATAGCCACCTCCTCCCAGGCCTGAACTCGTGGTGTCTCCATGTCCAGCTGCTATCCAATGGGTTCACAGCCAGCTCCCATGTCACAACGCAATTGTAATATTCTCTGCTGGAACGTGAGAAGTCTTAACGATGTGGCAAGACAAGATGCTGTGAGTCTGCTGGTAAGAGACACGCCTCCACCATCGTGTGTTTGCAGGAGACGAAGATGCAAAATTTGGATCAAGGTGTTGTCAGACATACTGTTGGGGCTAAGTTCGCCAACACTTTTGCTGTACTACCAGCCACTCAGACACGAGGCGACATTCTTATTGCGGTCAATGAGGATTACTTCCAGCTCTCCGACCAACATTTATCTACACATGCAGTGACTGCAACAGTCACCATGAGGGCAGATGGAACCAAATGGCAAATTACGGTTGTCTATGGCCTGCAGGGAGACGTCGAAAAATTACAATTTCTACAGGAGCTTGCAGCTATTCGTTGCCCGACCCATGGGAGATGGCTCATTCTAGAAGATTTTAATCTCATCTACCAGGCAGAAGACAAAAAAAACTCCAGTCTAAACCTTCGCCTCATGGCCTCCTTCAAAGCGGTCATCGACGACCTGAACTTAAAAAAGATAGGCCTCAACGGACGTCATTTCACTTGGAGCAACGAGCAAGACAATCCGACATTAACAAGAATCGATAGATTATTTTGCACCCCTGATTGGGAATTAACCTTCCCGACATGCTTTCTCCACTCCTTGCCTTCTCTCATGTCCGATCACACCCCGCTACTCCTGCATGGAGAACTCGAGCACTGCCACAACCGGACCTTCCGCTTCGAAAATTTTTGGGTCAAGATGGATGGTTTCAGGGACTTGGTGGAACAAGTCTGGAGTAAACCTGTGCACTCTTTGTTACCCATCAAATGGTTGCACACAAAATTAGCGTGAGTGGCCAAAGGCCTTAAGCGGTGGCGCAGGGAGAAGGTTGGGGACACACGGTTGCAGCTGGCCATCGTCAAAGAGGTGCTGCTACAGCTTGAGGCAGCGTAGGAATTTAGGACACTCACACAGCAGGAACTCGACCTGCGCCGGCGTCTAAAAATCAGAAGCACCGGCTTAGCTACCATTAAAAAGTCAAGGATTAAACAGTGGGCTAGGCTCACATACATCCGCAGCAGAGATGCAAATACAAAATTCTTCCACATTCGGCCAGCACAAGATTTAGGAAGAATTATATACATTGTCTGCACACGGATGGGAGGGTGGCGACTACGCACAATGATAGAAAAAATCATCGCAGATTACTTTTCAACACACCTAGGCTCACATACACCGAGGTCAGTGACGTTCAGCTGGTCGCCACTCAGTTATGTCCCAAGGGATTTATCGGCTCTCGAGGCCCCGTTCACGCAAGATGAGATCAAAGAGACAATAAAGTCCATGCCACCCGACAAGGCGCCGGGCCCAGATGGTTTCAGGGGTGCCTTCTTCAAAGCCTGCTGGGACATCATCAAAGATGATGTTACTGCTGCGGTGAACAGCCCGTACATGCGAAACTCCCAAGGCTTTGAGCTCCTAAATACGGCAAACGTCATCCTACTCCGAAAGAAAAGGGACGCCTTGCGAGTTACATATTTTTGCCCAATCAGTCTCATTCATAGCATAGCGAAGATTTTTGCCAAGTTACTTGCAAACAGGTTGGCGCCGCTGCTGAACTCCTTAGTTTTGAAATGCCAAAGCACATTCATCAAAAGGAGGAGCATCCACGACAACTTCCTATATGTTCAAAACATAGTACGGGCAATGCAAAAGATGAAGCTACCCACGTTGTTCCTAAAACTTGACATACACAAGGCCTTCGATACAGTCGGCTGGAGCTACCTTCTGGAGGTATTGCACGCCTTAGGGTTCGGACCACGCTGGCGGGAGTGGGTATCGATCCTTTTCTGCACGATGTCGTCGAGAGCGCTGCTAAATGGACAGAAGGGCCTAGCTTTCGGTCACAACAGAGGGGTTCGACAGGGCGACCCTCTATCGCCCAAGTTGTTCATTCTCGCTATGGACCCGCTTCAACGCCTGCTAGACATGGCAACGCAGCAAGACGTCCTCTCTGCTCTTCCTCTATCTACGGCTAGGTGGAGGACCTCCATGTATGCTGACGATCTGGCTATCTTCATTAACCCGATCAAGGACGACTTGGACTCCATCACGACGATCCTCTAGGAATTTGGTAGTGTCTCAGGCTTACATATAAATTGTGACAGAATCGCCTGAAATAACGCACTTACGGAGGCGCTTGTCTTCCACCAGACACTAAGCACCCCGAAAGCAAGCTACAACGGGCAGGTTCCGTCGGGCACACCCAAAGGGAGAGCCCGAAAGATCCATATTTTTCTCCAAGGATCCAATAATGAGAACGAGCTACAATACTTAATATATTTCATACATCCAGAGTTCTTAGAAATTCATTATTACATTACCAAATGTTAGAGTGCGGAATATTAAACAGCGGAATGTAAATAAACATCTATCGACAAGAAACAAGGATCCGTCTGTGCCCACTAGAAGAATCCTTCACACAATGGTACTCCTCAAGCATTACCTACAACAAGGGTAAATAAACCCTGAGTACACAATGTACTCGCAAGACTTATAGTGAGTCCTTGTTTATGTAATTATTAGTAGCCATGATTAATTGATTATCTAGCCATTCTATGTAAGTATCTGCTCTACTTTTAAGCAAAAGTTGAGCAATCAGTTCTATTTTATCATCTTTCATCTTTCAATTCTTATTACGATGCTAGAGTTCAGACAAGTCGTACCGATACGGCGATGATTCGTGATTCAATGTGCCCAGCTGAGTACCCCAAAAACACACGCCCCGCTTGTACCCCAGGCACAAGCAGGACCAACCCATCACCCTCCTGTCTTGAGGTCCAGGTCCCCGTCCAAACTTGGACTCCAAGCCCCGCTCCTAAGTCCCGGACTTAGTGCGGTGCAAGGACCTCAACCATCTCCGCCTCCAATCAGTCGGTCCAGAAAAAGCTGGAACCCATGACAAGAGAGCAACAAGTCTTCCCTGCGCCCATACCCAAGTATGTGCTCGGGATAATAAATCTGTGACTTGCCTAGCGTTCATTGCAACGGCCGGTCCTTAACCGACACAGACAGGGAAAAAGTGTAACCAAGCTATACCCCGTTGGCCGTAGGACACAACCTCTTACACCCACCAGTACCCAAACCATATCCCTGCCCGGTCATCATTTTTTCTTTCCACCATTTTATCATGAGTGATCATAATTATCACATATTGTGAGTAACGGTAGGTTACTCACGCTACCGAAATTCTGAGCATAGCAGCTACTCGACCTATACTAGTAGTACTCATAGGTAGATATATTTATGCATGTAGTTTCCATAAAATGCCTGTAACGTAAGTGCATATCATATATTCAGTGATCGTTTAAAATAAGCGTTATGCACCGGGGCTTGCCTTAGGCAGGCGGTGGGTCAACAAAGTCAGCAACGAACGGCTCCGGAGCTCCCTCCTGCACGAGAATCTCCTCCTCGTATTCCTCAATGACCTCCTCGTAGTTCTGCTCGTCCACGGGCACGAACTCTACCAACTCGTGATCTACATGCATGAAATGATGATGCAACACTTAGTAATACGGCAACAACAACTCTTAAAATAAAAATACATCAATCAAGCTACTAAGCTCGTTCTACCGACTAAGGTGCTAAGTTACCTACTGTTAACACTAACAAGTATGCTGCATGACATATATTATCTTCGCAACTAAAGGTATTCTTACTTTTAATACCAATTTACTCTATATATGATAAAATAAGAAGTACTAGCTACTCTATTTATCCACCTACTCTAGGGCTACAAAATTTGCAGTGAGTACATAATAATCTAATGAGCCTACTGTAAAAATTTCATGGCTATCACCAATTTGCCACAAAAATTTCTACAAATATTAAGCTAAATGATACTAAGCTTTCTAAATTGAATTTATGAACCTATCATTATCACAGCTCACTGTAAAGTAACTACAACAAATAGATAGCATTTTTTGTGAACCTAACAAATTTTGTTTCACTATTTTTGGACATCTATAAGATTTACTATAAATTATCAAAGTTCAGCTAAAAACCAAATTGAATAAACACTTATTACCTTATTGGAAAATGGAAAACCTAATTCTACTGTGTGGTCCAAAATGCGAGCGGCCTGGCCCAGTTTGGCGCAACGCGCGCGCACACGAGACGCATGGCGCGGCCAACGCGGGGGCACGGCCCAGCCGGGCGACGACGGCCCGTGACGGGGAGGCCCGCGCGCCCTGGCTGTTTTATGAAAACGGCCCTGACCTAATGGCGAATCACTCTGAGACCCACAACACTATTCCTACAGTCATCTACTTCGCAGATAAGTCCTCGGAACAACCTGTCTTCGCAACGACGATACCCTAAGGCACCCGCGCGCGCACCAGCGCGGCGGCGCTAGCACAAGGCGGTTATGCCGGCCAGACCAGCCCTTCCCCGCCCTATCTACGGAGCTGATACCTACCTATGTGTGAACTCGAAGTACTGGGCGAAGAAAGCGCGAGTCGAGATGTCGTAGCAAGGCCAGTCCACGACGGTGGAGCTCCTGCAATCACGGCGGTGGCATTCCGGTGAGGTACAACAACGCCGGAGAAATTGGGGTAGCTAGTGAGCTCAAGGAACTCACCACGGACACAGATGACGTAGTGGTTTGGCCAGAGGCAGCCCAAGTGAAAGGTCCTAATGGCTAGAGGGGGGTGAATAGCCTAATAAAATTCTACAACAACACTTAACAAAATGTGTTAGACAATTTTGCGGCGAAGCGAGTGTTGCGCTAGCCTACTAAAATGCAAGCCACCTACCTCAATTCTATTTTGAATAGTGTATGTCCACACAATAGCTATGACACTTAGCTAAATTAGTGTGCTCTCAAAGACTAACTAAAGAGCAACACTAATCAAACAAACAAGCTCTCACAACTAGCTACATTAAAGAGCTTGATAAATAGTTTGCGGTAATGTAAGAGTGAGCAAGAGAGTTATACCGTCGTGTAGTGGTAGGAACCAATCAATCACAATAATGAATACCAATGTAGACCAATCACCTCGGAATCAAATGATGAACATAATGATTTTTACCGAGGTTCACTTGCTTGCCGGCAAGCTAGTCCTCGTTGTGGCGATTCACTCACTTGGAGGTTCACGCGCTGATTGGCATCACTCGCCAAACCCTCAATAGGGTGCCGCACAACCAACACAAGATGAGGATCACACAAGCCACAAGCAATTTACTAGAGTACCTTTTAGCGCTCCGCCGGGGAAAGGTCAAGAACCCCTCACAATCACCATGATCGGAGTCGGAGACAATCACCTCCTCCACTCAACGATCCTTGCTGCTCCAAGCTGTCTAGGTGGCGGCAACCACCAAGAGTAACAAGCGAAATCCGCAGCGAAACACGATCACTAAGTGCCTCTAGATGCAATCACTCAAGCAATGCACTTGGATCACTCCCAATCTCACTATGATGATGAGTCAATGATGTAGATGAGTGGGAGCCCTTTAGCTAGGCTCACAAGGTTGCTATGTCAATGAAAATGTGTAAGAGTTATCCCTTGAGCCGGACATGGGGCTATAAATAGAGCCCCAATCAAATAGAGCCGTTATACCCCTTCACTGGGCAAAACGTGCTCTGACCGGACGCTCCGGTCAAACTGACCGGACGCTGGCCCTCAGTGTCTGGTCGCCCGATGGACGCCACGCGTCACCAGCTTCAAACGTTGTTCGTCATATTTCAACGGCTGCGAAGCTGATCGGACGCTCCGGTAAAACTGACCGGACGCTGAAGCCCCAGCGTCCGGTCGTTTCCAGTAAGCTCCCCGAGGCATGTTTTTTCGACCGGA